TCATTCTGCATCTGGATCTTCAGAACAGTTTTCTCATCAAGGAAATTTAATTCAATCAACTACCGGAAATTATACTCTCCAATCACTTCCTGCTTATTTACAACCAGGTTCTTCTCATACATTCCCAAAACCGAATAAAAAAATGAAGATCTTGAATTGGTCCAAAATTCCATCAGCTAACGTCATTGGTACGAAAAATTATAATTATTACAATTTAGAATAGTTTTAAATTAAAACAAAAATCTACTGATTATATATCAATTAAAATTCGAACTTTCAGTGATAAACTATCGTAAATAAGCGCACAATTTTGTACGATAGACTATCACTAAAGATTCAAATTAACGATTGTTTAAAGAATATTTATCATCATTATTATTCAAAAGTTAACCAAAGATCTACTTATGAAACTATGCAAAATATTTAGAGAGGATTTTTTCGATTTTAGTGACAATTGTTGCTAATAGCATCTCTGGTAACAATTAAAGACCTTGAGGAAGAACGTGATTTCAATATAAAATATACTCAATTAATATTTAATTAAGCAATTTAAATTATTATTATTATTATTAGGGCAATCAATATGGAATGAACTATATCAGGAATCAAGCAATGTTCATCTTAACTTTGAACAAGTAGAAGAATTGTTTTGTCAAAAGTCGACAAGTAAACCTTTGATTAATGAGAAAAAGAAGTTAAATAAAAACGCTTCTGAGGTAAAAATTAAAAAAGGATTATATATAATTAAATTTTAATAGAAAAATGTTACAGTAATTATTTTATTTATTAGGTAAATTTGCTAGATCCAAAAAGAAGTCTGAACATTAATATATTTTTGAAGCAATTCAAAGGAGGAGAAAAACAACTGGTGGAATTGATTCAAAATTGTCAATCTACAAAAATAGGATCTGAGAGATTGAGAACATTGATTAAAATTTTGCCCGCCTGCAATGAAGTAAGTGTAAAAAATTGATTTTTTAAACTGTTTTAATTAATATATAATTGACTTTTTTTTTTCATTTTTACAATACTGTATTATATTATATTAATTACACGTATAAGTCGTGGTGGTGTAATCAGATCTTCCATAATTATATTTTATATAGAAAATTAGATTATATTAACTTTTCCTAATAAGTTTTCCAATTTAGAGTGGTTTTAACTCGAATCCAATTCCTCACGTATGCGAATGATTCCATTGTGTTGATCGTCGGGTGGTGACCGAGACGATCGAAGAATTAACCCATTTTACTATGGGGTCCGGGCCGAGAATCTAAGTTTTCATAGGCTACCTTACTCGACGTGTCTGGTCCCGTCTTTTACTACTCGGCTACCCCATTGCAGCCTGGTCGAACCAATGATAAATATGACTATAAAGGCTTAATGTCCAAAAGAAGGGCCGTTGAGAATTTTTATAAAGCTGAGGGTACAGCGAGTCACCCTGCCTTTAGCTGCTGGTCCTTTTTTGTTTTGTATTGTTTGAAAAAATGAAAAATGTAGAAAGCTTTTTTATTGATAAAAGCAATCTTGAAAGTTTATTTTTGTTAATTTTTAGGGGATGAAACTACTGAGCCCTAAGTTTTCTTCAGGCCCAGGGAAAATTCTCCAATTCCCCTCCCTCTCGACGATCATGGCCAAAGAGCAAAAAATTCATAAATAAAAAAAAACTATTTCATTATGTTTTGATCCATTCGTAATGAACTAATTAAAGACAACAATATAAAATGTTAAAAATTGAAATTTGCTTAAGTAAACCTAATGCCACTTAGTTTCAGCCCTAAATATTTATAAAGAATAACTTAAATTTTTTTTTTTGAATTTAGTTAAATTCACAATATATTGATATATATTGTATTTTTTTTTCCTAGTTGATTTCTGTGAAAGAATACAACGGTGACAAAACCAGATTGGGAATAGCAGAGAAATTTTATTTACTTCTATCCGAAGTGAAAGCCTACAAAACAAGAATTCAAGGAATGATACAAATAGAAGAATTTCAACCAAGTGTGGACGTTCTCAAACCTCAAATAAAGCATTACCTAGAAACTTGCGAGACGATTCTCAACAACAAATCTCTTAAAGATTTCTTTAAAATCATTTTGGTTACCGGAAACTTCTTAAATTCCGTGAGAACATTTTTTAAATTCGATTTAGGCCTATATATTTAATGAATTTAAAATAATAATAATAATCGAAGATATTTCGTTGTTTAGGGAAGTTACGCTGGAAATGCTTTTGGATTTCGATTGAATACTTTGGGGAAATTAATGGAAACGAGAGCCAACAAACCACGAATGACATTGTTGCATTATTTAGTGGATGTTGCTGAGAAAGAAGATCAGGAGATGCTGAATTTCACAAACGATCTTCAGTTTTTGTCAGAATGTTCCAAGTGAGTCATATTGAATAATTTTGTTTTTAAACTGTTTCCACTCTGGGTACTAAGAGGTCCTCTTTCAGCGAGCCCATTATACGTTCAACCAGGTCCATAATGGGGCGGTCAGATGGTGAGGGACGGGGCCCACATGTCCGGACGGCCCACTCCCTGAAAAATTCCTGGAGATTTCTCCACCCATCTGGATTCAATTCCCTGTCCCCTTTAGCGGTAGGATGACACCTTGACTACTCGGTCATCCGGCCGTCTGTCATAATGAATATGATGCCATATGGAATTTTTTTGAATAGTCGGGTATATCGATTCTTCATCCCTCACCACCCAGTCTTTTCCACCGTGGGCGCGAGTGAATAAAACACTGGTCGCAGGTTCGCGCCTGATCAACGAGCTGGCTAATTGGCGTTTTCCAGGTTTTCTTTACATATCTAACAACTAAATATAGACTAGTTTGGCTCAGAAAGTTCTTCCTGAGGCATCCCCTCCATACACAGTTCATTTGTTGAGTCGACATCTCATCAAACCAAACCCCATCGTAGGCCTGTCCGAACCCACAAGGAATATGATTAAATCCAAGCCTCTGAAGACCCACAGATCGAAACGACAGAAAAATAAAACTGCATTATATATATACGAGAGCGGTTTTTCAAGCTCCGATGGTCCATAAAAAAGACAAGTGTAAATAACAAAATGAATTTATTACCAAAAGTTAGGTACAAACATGATTACTTTTCGACATAATCACCGTGAAGATTGAGGCATTTGTCATATCTGTGGAAGAGCTTTTCCATCCCCTTGTAATAGAATTAGGTTAGGTTGTTATTTACACTTATATGTATATACATATTAAATAAAATTAATAAGTTACGTTGGTCTTTTGTAAAATATTAAAAATAACTCTACTGAAGTATTGGTTATATCCTGAGACTATATTCAATACATAAAATTTAAGAAAATGAATTTTCATAAGTTCATTGAAAAAAAAAACTTTAACTTCTATATGAAATTGCTTTTAATTAACACAGTATTAATTAAAATATAAATTGAAATTATCGAGGAGAATTTTATTTTAACACATTTTTCCACTTTCGATTTCGTAGATCTGTTAAGTTCTGATAGGAAAAAGATAAGGAGACAACAGGCTTTTCCTCCTCGATAATTCCCACGTAATTTACGATAAGATCTTTCAAATATTCAGAAAGAAAATTAAATAATGTTTTAAACATTATTTTTTTCATTTTAGTCAGTAAAAAGTTCTTAATTTAAACAGTTACTTACTAATAACTTTAAAACTTCGTATCGCATGTGCACATAATTGATTTTATTTATTGTTATTGAATATTAACATTTTTGTGTTTTAAAAATAGGAAATATGTTTTTATTTTAAATGATTTTAGTTTGTGGTTTGAGATAATTAATTGGATTGGATAGTGTTGTACGCATATTTAAGGTACATCGAGCACCTTTAGTAGGCCTACGTATAAATGTGTATAGAGCCTGCAATATTTCATGTCTATATGTATAGTACAACACAATAAGTAGCACATAAGAATGAAACTATTAGTGCAAAATTCGCTGTTAAAAAGACATAATTGTTATTTCAGACAGGAACATAACTGCTAATGTCTGTCACTTCAATATAATAACAATGTTCGTTCATAGCTTCAAACAGTCAATCCATATTTCACCATTACTGTCAACACATGCTTTTGAATCGTCTCTGTCTCAGGAGCTGGAAAACATAACTTTTTAAAGTACCCTGTATATAATCTTTAATTAATTACTTTTTTTTTTATCGAACATTGTTGCTATTCTTGCCTTTCTTGAATCTTGAATTTCAAAATTTATACAGTAGATTCCCTATAACGCGGCAGATACGTTCCTCGTTATACGAATTTCGCGTTGTAGGAATCCTTAAATGCATGAGCCAATCGCAGCCCGACACGTGTGAAGTTTACGGACTACGGCTGTTTGAAAGGTTTTCTTCCATAAAATTAATCGATTCTAGACTAATTCGACTTAACATTTCCAAAATACGTACAGTATATTT